CCTGCACCCATCTGGTGTCCCCTCACCATCCACACCACTGCCCAGGAGACTCCTGGTGAGTCCCAGCCATGTAGGCTCTGCCGACGGCTACTGGCAACATGCAGCAGGGCTACGCGGCCGTCCTGTGTGAGTACAGCTCGGGGACGGGGGGGATGGCCTTAGGGGTCACCTCAGGGGGTGTCCCCGAAGGGGCTGATACCGCTGGCTTTGGCTGCCAGGTGTCCTGTCTGTGCTGGGGCTGGAGGCCACCGTGCCGGATGAATGCGAACTCACCCGACTGCTCCAGGACAAGCTGCATTATGAGATGCGCCTGCAGTACATGGTAACCTCAGGTTTGGTGGGTGGGGGAACATGTGGCATTGCAGGGCCCCAGTTTGCTCCAGGGGACACCCATTGCTGGGTGGTGGGTTTTTTTACCAGGGGCAACATGCACCAAATGATGCCCAGAGCTACTTCTGCTGGGGGCTGACCACATCAAAGGGCTTTTCCACTGGCTCCCCACGGTCATGCTGAGGCTGGCAGGGATGTCCCTGTTGCTTTGCCCCCTGCCAGTCCCTGTGCTCTTCTGACCTTGCAGAAACACTACTTCCCCATCGACTACACAGTCCAGGTCCAGTATGAGGAGGTGCTGAGGCCATCCAACATCACCCGCCTGGTAAGATTGTGGCAAGGGAGAGCCCCGTGATGGGTGTGCTCCAAGGACTCTCAGGGTCTGTGTGAGTCTCACCTGGGGCACCCTCTTGCTCTTCAGCGCAACAGGACAGTGTCAGAGGCAGCACTGCGATACCTCTGGTTCCACGTCAGCTCCCAGGCAGTGCTGCGGATCCATGAGGTGTTGCCAGAGAAGCACCCATCCTGGAAGTACACCCAGGAGCTGTGCCAGCTCTTCGATGCCTTGGGTGAGGAGTACAGCAAGTACCGGCAGGTGAGGAGCCCCCTGGCACCCCAGCCCAGCCGCACGACACACGCAGGTGTGCTGGGAGGACACACACCCACAGGCACAACAAACACCGGGGGCACAGAGCGGGACCAGCACCCTCTGTGCGTGTGGGTCCTGTGGGAGGCAGCGCCGGGTGATGTTCCACATCTGGCATTGGTGGTTCAGTGGTAGAATTCTCGCCTGCCACGCGGGAGCCCCGGGTTCGATTCCCGGCCAATGCAACAGCTGTGTCTGTTTTGCTCACCTGGGGGGTCCGGCAAGGCCGGGGGGCGAGGAACGGGACTGTCACCCCCCCTGCGTCACGGGATGGCACTGCCACTGCCGGCGGTGGGGGGGATCCTGCAGAAAGTGCCCCTTGTTTTCCCTGTGACAGTGGTGCTGCTCCTCCTAAAGCCTCTGATGCCTCGACGCTGCTGCGGAACACCTAGGCAGCTGCGTTTGGGGGCCGGATGGGGTGGCCTGTCACAGCTGGGTCACCAATGTGAACCTGAAGTGTGTCTGTGTTATCCTGTGCTGTGGGACAGGTTCCGTAGCCCCTCTGAGGAGAGAACGAGCTTTGCTGTGTCGTCTCATTAGAGCATTAACTATGAAGGCTAATGACTACCCCTACCTTTCTAGGGGTGATGTATGGGGCAGCAGGAAGAGATGCTCCCTTGGGCAGGAGCCCCGGGGTCAGAGCTGTGTGTTGGGGTGCTCTCTGCAGGGTGTGTGTGTGTGCGTGTGTGTGTGTGTGTGTGTGTGTGTTTTCACAGCTGGCAGTGCCTGTTCCGCTGCTCCCATCTCTCTGGGTTGGTTTGGGGGCTGTGTGGGGGGACTGGAACGTACTGCACATCTGGCATTGGTGGTTCAGTGGTAGAATTCTCGCCTGCCACGCGGGAGGCCCGGGTTCGATTCCCGGCCAATGCAACGGCGACATCATTTTGCATTCCGGTGTTCCTTGGGGCTGCCAGGGTGCCCGTGGAGTGAGTGGTGCAGAGGTGCTCCCTTATGCACCGCTGTGCTCTTGGCCCCGGCACTGTGTCCTTTGTGTGGGTGACAGCCGCAGTTCTGCCTGCAGTGAGTGTCTCTGGCTCGGTGGCATTGTGGGTCAGAAAGAGAAGGTTTGGTGACAGTGAGCATCTCAGCTGGGTGACAGGGAGGGGCACTGGCTCAGTGACAGTGAGGGATGCCACGTCGATGGCAGTGCTCCCTGTCTTCGGAGCAGTGGGAGGCGCTGGTCCCTGTCAGGGGTGCCCAGGCCACAGAGATGTGAGGCAGCTGTGGGCAGCCCCAAATCTGACACGGGTGGCTCAGTGAGATGATTTTTGTGCCCCCTCTCCAAAAAGCCTGGCTTTGGCTCCTGGTCAGTGCAGCCCCATGTCCTGCCCTTCATCTCTGCAGCCCCTGACCCCTCTGCTTGACTTGGGCTTCATGCAGCCACGGGTCTTGGGGCTAGGGAGGTGCTGCTGCACCCCAAGGTAGAGAAGTTTGGGTGCTGGGTGGGGTTGACCTGTCACAGCTGGGTCTCCAGAGTTGAACCTGAAATGTGGCTGCATTGTCCTGTGCCATGAAACAGGTTCTGCAGCCCATCCAAAGAGATTGTGAGCTTTGCATAGTTGTCTCATCAGTGTTAATGCTGAAGGCTAATGGCAACCTCTGCTTGCTGAAGGTGATGTGAGAGAGCAGAAAGAGGTGCTCCCATGGGCTGGAGCCCCATCATCAGAGCTGTCTGTTGGGGTTCCCTCTGTGTGTGTGTGTGTTCACAGCCAGCAGTGCCTGTCCCTGTTGCACACACTCTGATGGCTTTGGGAGTGTGGGGCAGCAGTGGGGGGGTGTTTTACATCTGGCATTGGTGGTTCAGTGGTAGAATTCTCGCCTGCCACGGGGGAGGCCCTGGTTCGATTCCCGGCCAATGCAACAGCTGTGGTTTTTTTGCATCCTGGTGTCTCTGGGGGGACCATGAGGACTGCCTGGGGTGCCTGCAGGGTCTCTGCACCCATCGGCACATCTGTCGCCTGTGTGGGTGCAGAGGGTGTCATTGTCAGTAGAACAGAGCAGGGCACCTTGGTGATTCCCGAGGGGCTGTGGCAGGGAGCTGCCAGGGGGCTTGGTGGCAGAGAGGGGCCCTGGCTCATGGGCAATGAGTGTCCATGGCTCGATGATAGTGAGGGTCCCTGGTTTGGTGGCAATGACAAGGGTCCTTGGCTCGGTGGCAGTGCGTACCCCTGGCCTAGGGCAATGGGAGCTGCGTGAGGCTGGGAGGTGCCACTACCCAATCCAAGAGGCAGGGTGCTGGGTGCAGGTGACCTGTCACAGCTGGGTCACCATGTGAACCCAAAGTGGGGCAGGGTTGTCATGTGCTGCGGGGCAGGTTCTGCAGCCCCTCTGAGGAGGGAGCGAGATTTATTCAGTCATCTCACCAGACTGTTATCTCTGAAGGCTAATGATTACCTCTCCTTGTTGAAGGCAATATGTGAGGCAGTAGGAAGAGATGCTCCCTTGGGCAGGAGCCCGGTGTGAGAGCTGTGTGTGTGTGTGTGTGTGTGTGTGTGTGTGTGTGTGTGTTTTCACAGCTGGCAGTGCCTGTCCCGCTGCTCCCATCTCGCTGGGTTTGGGATGGGGGGGAGGGCTGGGACACTTTGTGTTTTCACAGCTGGCAGTGCCTGTCCCGCTGCTCCCATCTCGCTGGGTTTGGGATGGGGGGGAGGGCTGGGACACTTTGCACATCTGGCATTGGTGGTTCAGTGGTAGAATTCTCGCCTGCCACGCGGGAGGCCCGGGTTCGATTCCCGGCCAATGCAACAGCGACATCATTTTGAATCCTGCTGTTCCTTGGGGAACCTTGGTGACATCCTGGTGAACTCTCCCTGCAGACAGATGTGGAGGCGGTGGTGGCTGACCTGGTGAAGCTGCTCCACAGCGCAGGCGCTGAGAGCAGGAGGAAGGCTGTACGTCCCAAGGCACTGCTGGACAACTGCCTCAAGGTCATGTGGATGCTGTACGGGGTGCCCTGTGAGTTGGGGATCAGGGTGGGGGGGAGTGGAACCTTGGGGAATGCAGGTGATGACACCTGTTGTGTTCAAGAAATGACTGAATGTGACAGTGCCATGGTCTAGTTGACAAGGTGGTGATCAGTCAAAGGCTGGACTTCATGATCTCAGAAGTTTTTTTCAATCTAAATGATTCAGTGATTCTGTGATTCTGTCCCCTCTGTTCAGGTCGGTGGGAGTCCACCTAATGGCGCAGAAGATTCCTCTCTCAACACCTTCTCCTTGTCCTGGAGCCTAGGATGCTGCCTCTGCTCTGCCCCCGCAGCAGAGTGCCATAGTGCGGTCCTCAAGGAAGGTGCAAAGGTGGGACAAATGCCACCTCTTCTGGGACAAAGCACCACCCTTTCCAGGACTGTGGGACTGTTCATGGCCATGGGGTCTTGCCCATCTGAAATGCCTGGCACTTTCTTCATGAATCTGGGGTCAGATGCAGACCCCCATGGCAGACAGCAGTTGGGGACACACACTGCCCTCCCTGTCCACAGCGGGGTGAAGGCATCACCCCATTCCTCTTGGTTTGTACTTTTTCCTCAGCTTTCATTAAACACCAGTTAATTCTCTAGCATTGCAGCTCAGCTTCCGACCAGGTCCCGGGAGCCTCCAGCCTTACCCAAAATAAAGGACCAGCAAAGACAACACCACTGCCTCCGTTGTCTCTTATTTGGGGTGTCAGCCCCCTCCCTCACCACTGTAGGGGAGAGAGTCATCCCAGTATAGGGACCCCCAGAGCTGCTGCCTGCCAAGCCACCCCCGTCAGCCCTGGCTGCTTCCCCGGCAAGAAAACATCTGGGTTTGTTTGTTGTGCTTGGCAGCACAGTGTGGGCAGAGTGCCGGAGGGACTGGGGGCTGCCTGGATGCCTCCCCCCTTCCCAGCTTACTTAATTACCTTAATTAGCTATTAGAGACCTTAATTGGTGTGTTCCTGACTGAAGGCTGCTTAGGCTTATGAGTCTATGGGCACTGCAGCATGAGTGAAGGCAACATCTTCCTCCTCCTCCCTTCATGCCTAGCCATGGTTCCTGTTTATATGAAGCCCACGCAGAGCTCAAACAAAGCCCACCAGTGATGATCCACAGCTTGATTTTGGGACTTTGATTAGAGGGACACCCTCTCCCATCCCCACTGGCTTTAACAAATAGCCCCCATGTGGTCCAGAGACCCACCTGTGGTTGCTTGAACTCCCAGGGCTGATCTTCTGCTCCCTCATGTCAGGCGTGGGAATGATCCCACGTCCTCCTCCACCGTGGGAAAATTGAAGCTGTCCCAGCAAAATGACCCTGGCCAAGCTTCCCAGAGCATCCCTGCTGCAAATGGTTGGGCTTGGGGCTTGCCAAAGCCCTGCGTGTCCATCCCACTTGACATATTGCAACATTTTCTTCCGGTCCTTCTTTCGAGGGATGGCTCCAAAGATATCAGCTGAGAGCTGCCATGGAAATGCACTCGTGTGTTGGGGAATGGGAGCCTGTTTGTGAAATCTCCTCATATACCATGAGGTGAGATGGGTGCAGGGAGGGTCAGCCCAAGGTGAGGTGCTCAGGTCCCAGAAGACATCCTTAGGGATGGACTGGGACTTGGGAGATCTCCTGCTGTGAAACCCCCAGCTACTGTATTAGGAAAGAATCTTTCCTGGCCTCGAACCAGCAGGAAAAATGCCTGGCAGCATCCTTGGTGGGGGGCATGGAAAGGCTGGCTGGTTTTGGAGTGGACAGATGCAGCATGGCAAGAGCCGGGCTGTGCCGAGGCTGCCCCGTGGCTGCAGTTAGGGGGCTGTCGGAGATGTCCCCAGGCCACCAAGCAGAATGGCTTATGGCCTTAGAATGAGGATGCCCAAGTGGTCCCCTCGGCCCTGGGGGATGCCCTGGATTCAGGACCGCACTTGGAGCATCTTTCCCTCTGCTGCCCCAGCCCAACTCAGCATCCTGGACAAGGAGGCAGCAACTCCAGCTCTCACTCTGCAGCCGGAGCATCCCTATTCTCCTGCCACAGAACGAGACTGAGCCTGGAAATGGCAATTAGTTCACTTTAATTGATGAAGCTCAGCAGGCAGGCACTGCTCTCACCAGGGCAGCCTTTGTCCTCTCCAGTCCCAGAAGGTGCCGTTGCTGGTGGCTGAGAGCTGTGCCAGCAGCCGCAGGACGCCCTGCACACTCTCCTCCACTGTCACCGGGCCCTACCAAACCAAAGGCAGGGGAAAAAAATTAACCAAGCCCCCTCCTGGTCTCAGCATTCCCATCGCATGCTGTGTGGTGAGATGCCAGCTCTGACTGGGGTGGGCTGGGAGAGGCCAGAGATGCTTCAGCAGCCAAAGGATGTGGCTTTTCCTAATTGTCTTAATTCGGGTGCTATAAGGATGGAGCAACCTCTTTTGTTCCTAGTTAAAAAGTGACTCGTTTGTCAGCCAGCACAGAGGTAAAGGGCAGCCGAGCGTGGGGCCGGGGTGCCCTCTGCTGACACACTGTCGGGATGGGAAAGGAAATAAAAACCAGAGGAAACTGGATCGTTTTGGGGGAGAGCTTGGAATTAACCTTTTGCTGTGGTGACACGGCCACCTTGAGACTGAGGAGCTGCACAGGAGTGGGTGTTCAGGGAAGGGATGTCTGTGGGAAGGATTGCTTCTGGAAAGGGATGTTTTTGGGAAAGGATGACCCTGAGAAGGGATGGCCTTGGGAAGGGATGTCCATGGGAAGGGGATGCTTCTGGGAAGGGATATCTTTGGGAAGGGATGACACTGAGAAGGGATGTCTGGGGGGAGGGATGGTTCTGGGAAGGGAAGGCTCTGGGGAGGGATAGTCATGGGAAGGACTGCCCCTGGGAAAGGATGTCCTCAGGAAGGGATGCCCATGGGACTTCACTGAACTAGGATGGCCATGCACCTCCCATCACTCACCATCCCCTGTTCCAAGGGAGGTGTCACACAGCCAGGGTCCACGGACACGCAGAGGATCCCACTGTTGCCGTACTCCAGGGCCAGGCACTTGGTGAGCATGTTCAAAGCAGCCTGGGAGGACAAACACAGCACCCGCCACAGCCCCACCATCACGATCTGGCAATACTACGGCCAGACGTAGAGAGAATCCTGCAGGAGGTGACCCTCCCCAAATTCCTCCTTGTCTTCATGGCAGCAGTACCTTGCTGCAGCGGTAACAGATGTCCTGCCTCTCCTCCCAAGCCTCTGCCACCTCGATGGAGCCCAGAATGCTGGAGATGTTGATGATAGCAGCTCTGCTGCAGCTCATCTCACGCTGCCCTTGGGCCTCAGCTGCCTCCTTCAGCAGGGGCAGGAAGGCCTGTGGGGGGTGGGAGGTCAGACATCACCATCCTCTTCCTCCCTGCTCCCAGCTTTTGGGGCAGGGGCTGCCTGTGGCCTCACCTGGCTTGTCTGCAGGGGCCCAATGGTGTTGGTGGTATAGACAAGGGTCATGTTCTCCGCTGTCTCAGTGGCCAGTGTGCTGCGGCGCGTGGTGCTGATGTTGTTGATCAGGAGGTTGAGGCCAGTATTTCCCACCTTCCTCTGCACCTTCTCAACCGCTGCCTTGATGCTGTTGGGGTCTGTCACATCTGCAAGGGGACAGGAGGGCTTGGGGACAGGCTGATGGCCATGTCCCTGACAAAGACGCTGTAGGGCATGGCAGAAGGCAGTTCCCAACCACTAAGCAGCATCCTGATCCCAGCAGTGACCTGATTGAGGCAAACCTAGGGACCCGCCTGCTTGGTGGCATTTCCTGGAGCCACCCACGGTTTGTAATTAAATCTTGAAAGTCTTCATCCCCTTCCCGCCCCAGTACTTACCTAGAGGCAGGACCACGACGTTGGGAAAGCCCAAAGCCAACTCATTGACAGCCTATGGAGAGAGTGGGGGGGAGGGAGTCATGTTGGGAGGCTCACCAGAAGGGGAGCCCTGTGCCATGCTGGGGTGGGAACAGGGTGGCCCTGCATGTCATAGCAGACAGGTTTCAACAAGATCCAGTGGGAGCAATTTGGGGCAAGCTACTGCTTCTCTGTACCTGGCTGAGCCTGGCAGCTTCAAAACTCCCAGCAGCAATGCCCCC